AGCAATGGAAAGCCTCTGTGCTAAATATGTATTTTTGTGAGAGATTCGCTCCCCTCTGCGTGTCAGCATCATTTGCTTTGTGCTGCAGCAGAGGCAGCCTGCTGGGCTGGCATCCCGCAGCGGGGCCGGGTGGCTGGTCTGCAGGGTGGGGGGGCTGCACCATTATTTGCATTGAGGTGTCTCAGATCTCCTCAGATAGAAAATTCAGAAGGAGATGCAGCCAGCTCACGTGCACCTGGGAAGCTGCGGGGCCGGAGCTGCCTGCGTGTGGTGCGGAGCATTGGCAGGTTGCCACGTGCAGCAGGCAAGGAGCAGAGCTGTGCTGCGTGTTTGGAAGAGCTTCAGGGGTGCACAGCTGGGCCATTCCCACTTCTAGTGGGCACTCGTGAGCCTGGGGCATCATTTTGGTAGCAGAGCCCCTTGCAGCTGTGACACGGGTGTTTCCCGTGGGAATGTTTCATGCTGCAGCCACTGCTTTGAATGCAATGGGGAACCTTGCTCTTTGCATACAGCACTTCTCACTTGGAGCGTTTTTAAGCTTTCTTCCCTTAAAGCTGTAATTTGAAATTCAGCTGCACAAGTACTAGCAAGCACTTGATCACCCAGCATCTCCTTTTCTTATTCAGAGCCACAGATTCACAGCTGCGGCTGAGGCTCCAAGTACTGAATCCCAGTCAAACCTTTTAGCACTGACATTGCAATGGGCAGTTTTGTTTCTATATCTGCTGTTGGTCAGTAATTGTAACATTATGATTGCTACAGGAGCTCCAAACTCAGTGGCCTCTCAGGACAAGTTGTTGGCCTTATTGCTGTGGCACTGCTTGCGTTGTGTTGTGTTTCCAGTGCTCTCAGAGATTTCCATCACCCTGCAAACTCCCAGCCGGGTGCAGAGCTCTGAAGGCACGGCTCTCAGCCCAGGGCAGCCCCAATGTCCTGTGAGCAGCGTTGGGTGCTGTTGTGCTCTTTGCTATCAGAGCGAAGCCGCACCACTTCCCTGCCTGCTTCTGATCCTTGGCTTCCAGCACAAGCTAAATAGACTATACTAAATTTTTTAGGCTGCTTCACAGGCTTTGATCCTTGGCTTTGATTTCCCACACGGTATCACAGTCCGCTGGTTCTGAAGAAACAAGAGGCCCATTAAGTGCTGCCCAGCCTGGCGATGATCGTCCCTCTCCAGCATCACACCACGCTCCCATCCAGGCCTGTGCTTGGGATGCGCCCAGCCCCTGCTCCACTGCCCACCACCATCAGCTCCTCGCCGTGCCTGGCTCCAGCAGATGCTCAGGGCAAGCAGACAGTCCTTCCTACCAGGGTCTCGTTTATGCTTTGTGTGGTTCGTACACTGCTTTGGCAAGAAGCAGGTCAAGAAATAAATATTCTGTGTGTGTCCTTGCCAGAGCAGTAGAGATGAGGGCGTTTGCCTGCCTGCCCTGCTCTGTGCTTCCAAGTCCCCAAGCCCCTCCACACCACTTGACTTTTCTGTTTTTTTTTTTTAATTTAAATCTAATTTTGCTGCTGTACTGCAAGCTCCTGTCTAACTGGAGAGCCGCTGTTGCCTCAGGGCTGTGCTGCTGCTTTTCAGTCTTCCCACGCCCTTCCAATGTGCAGTCTGGAAAAACTTGAAAAAGACTCTTTCGAATTTGGGCATGTGTGCCTTGGGTCGTCCGAAGATGGGGGCTCTGCAAGGTGACAGTGTAAGGGTATTCCTCAGCAGGGAGCACTCTCTGTGTCTGTTCTTTAGCAAAATGGGAGCTGGTTCCACGTGAATGTGCAGGATTTGCAGTCCCCCAGCCTGCAGAGAGCTGCACTGGAGCACATCCGTGCTGCTCACTGGTGGGCCCTCTGGCTGGCCATCCCTGTCCTACAGCCTTGCTGCTGCCACAGGACGCTTTAGTGGGAGGAAAAAGACTGCTTGGAGCAAACAGCCCGACCTGATGGCTGTAGGGAGGTGCCTGGGAGGCCTTCGGTGCCTGCCCAGGGCAGGACTGCTCAGCCACAGCTCTGTGCCAGCTTTTTTCAGCTTCCCTGCCCGTTCCAAGCTGCAGCACCACTGATCACAGCATGCCTGCACTTGCTTGTATTAATTTTTCTCTCTGAGGCTCGTGGTATTTTGGCAAACAGGCCTCAGCTGTAATAATTTCTGGCCCCTCATGGGAAGTTATAACTCTGGCATAGTGAAATATAAACTGGCAGAAAATGGAGTGTTTCCTTCTGCAGCAGGCAGGTTCAGAGGTTTTCTTATCGCTTTCTCTCCTTGCTTTTGTTTTCCCCTTCTCAGCCAAAGGGCACAGTCACCCTCCTTCAAAAGAGCAAAAATGTGCTGGACTGATAAAATGGTGCATTAAGTTGGTGCTGTGCAAAGGTACAGCTTCAGGAGCCTGGGGAGGAGGCAGCAGTGGGAGGCATAAGTATTGTTTGTCTTGTGGCTAAGACCAGGCATCCTCACTGCTGCAGTGTGCAGGCAGTGCAGGTGGCCCCAGTCACTGCCTGTCTGCAGAGCAAGAGCTTGGAGAGTTGGCCTGGGTTGGGATTTTAAGGTGCAGAGAAGAGAAGCAGACCAGAGGCCCTGGAGAAGGTCTGGCAGCTGGGATCTTCACCAAGAAGGTCTGGTGCCCATGTCCATCACTGCTGGTGGGAAGCTGCTGGAGCCTGAGTGCAGCACTTGCATGGGGCTGACCCTCACCCAGCCCTGAAGCTGCATCGTCTCACCTGCACCCACACCTCTGCCCTCCCCATGCAACCAGGGCTGCTCATTGCAGGCTGTGTGCAGGCTCTGCCCCACTCTCCCAGCTTCATTTCAGCCCGTTCTGCTGCTGATGCCAGCATCCCCTTATCTAGTGACAGATTAGCACAGGTTGAATTTTCTATGATAGCAGTCCACAGTCTGTCTCATTGTATTTATTTTGTTCAGGCAGCTTTTCCCTGGGCTTGACAGTGTAATTTGTACAGATCTGTGCTGAATTTTCAAAACCCTCAAATGAGCTTTTTGTTAGTGGACAACTGATGGTGGAGACATTAAACAACAGAAACGCTGAGAAGTGAGCAGCACACCTAGCATCCAGGAAGGCTTCCTAACCTCCAGAGGTACTCTTTGGCAAAAACTCCATGGTTCAGAGATTTTAATTAGATCTGATACTCCGGGTGACCAGCCAAGCATTAAAAGGCATAGCGGTTTTTCCGTTACATCCCTTGCTGTGGAGTTTTTTATTATTTATTTTAGATAGATGTGACAAAGAACTTCAAGATCCCAGTTTGCTTTGAATGGCACGAAGAGCTCTGCAGTCTGAGAGCTCCTTTCTGTGCACTGTGAACCAGAATGTGGCTGCCTGCAAGCTTGCTCCACACCCACCCTGCCCCCCCTTGCCTGGAGTAACATTAATGGGAGGTTGGAGGGAGTTTTAGGATCAGAAACTGTATTTCTGAGTGTTGCCAGCTCCTCCTTGGAGTCTGGAAGTGCAGCATTCTCGTTCTTGTCCTCGCCACTAATGGAGCTGCAGTGCCTGACAGCGCTGTGGATGAGATGCCAGGCAGAACCTGAACCCCTGCATCTCTGTTTCACCAGGAGAGCTCAGAGCAGAAGCAAACACAGCCCAGCTGTACACACAGAGGTAGAGACCAAAGCTGTCACTGCTGGAAACAGGGCTGGAAAAAACCCTCCTGCTGCCTGGCTTGCAGCACAGCCTGTCTGGGTTGTGTGTTTCTGGACTCCCACAGGAGCCCAGTCACAAGCCCTGAATATGTCTGCCTTAAATTCACCTGGGCAGAAGGGCGATGCAGGATTCATCCACCTCTCTGGGGGAGAGCTCTCCCTTTCCTCTTGCTGCCTGGGGGTTCGTGTCCCACTCGGCACCTCTGTGTGCTGGCTCTGTTGGACACGTCTGCAGCACAACCCTGACTGTTCTGAGAGCTGATGTTCACCTGTCCTGCCATCGTGCTCTTCCATCTTTGCCCTGGGGAAGTGGGAAAGTGGCTGAGGCTGGAGCGGTGCTGGGATGCTGTGGGCAGCCCCTGTGCATGTGCTCACTGTGGGTACAGCTGGAGCTGGGAGCAGTGGTGGTGGAGCTGCCCTGGGCTGGAGCTGCGTGTGCCTGGGAGCAATACACAGAGCTGAGGGTTTTGCTGTGTTTTTGTGAGCTAATAGCAAGCCACCAGTTAAATTCGAGGCTGCTCCCTACCCAAGTCCATTTATCCTCTGTTTTTGTTTTTTTATGACCCTGTCTGCCTCTGTCTCATTTCTTGTGTGATTCTCTGCGCTGGCTGTTCTGCAGCTTTCTGCAGCAGTGAGAGCAGTGGGTGTTTGCTGTAGCAGGAATGCTGACCTCTGTGTAATGTGGTGCAATTGCTGCTTCAAAGCCGAGCAAAGGCTGAAGTGCTGGAGCTCTCCCTCAGAGCTGATGAGACCTGGGATCAGTGTGGGACTTCCAGGATGCTGTGTTCTGACTGAGCACTGCCAAAAAGAGAGCCAGCTGCACCCAGCGCAGCCCCAGGGTGTGCTGCAAGTGGGGTCTGTGCTGGGGCAGCTGTTCACACCCAGCCCTGCCGTTTCACCCCATTCTTCTAGACAGAGGGATGCACTCAGCCTCCTCTAGTCCTTGAGAAGCACTCGATGAGAGATGTGTGGGTGGCCAGACAGGCACAGTCTGGTTCAGAGGCCCCGGGGACAGCGGGTCCTTCCTCCAGGTGAAGCTGGGACAGGACTGGTGCTGCAGCATGGGCACGCAGCAGCAGGGGAGTGTGGGTGTAAATCAGTAGGGCAACAGTGAGCAAGGGGGAGGCGAGTGCCAGCACAGAGGCCATTAAGGAGCAGAGGCAGTGTGGAGCTGGAGGATTAATGGAGCAGTAGCTGCAAGGCAGGGACGAGGGAGGGCTCCTTGCTGGGGGCAGATGGGCAGGACGTGGGCACACAGCAGGGCAGCACGAGTGGCCCAGCGTTTTCCCATCTGCACTGCCATCCCCTCGGCCCCCTGTGTGTGACACATCTTTGTGTGTTTCTTCTGCAGCAACCCCAAAGTCCAGATAGAAGCGATTGAAGGAGGAGCGCTGCAGAAGCTGCTGGTCATTGTGGCTACAGAACAGCCACAGGCTGTCAAGAAGAAGGTGAGCAGGCAGGGATCACTTCTGGGTAAAGCCATTTGGGATGCAGCTCTTTACAGGGTATCACACCTTATAATTGCTCATGAGAGCATGAGACCTGTGCTGCATCCATTCTGGGGGCATCTGATGACTCCGTGCTCTCCAGCATGGTGCTGGTGGCCGGGTCACAGCTCAGTAGCCCTGATCGGTTGGTGCCAGCGCTGTGGTCTCACCCTCACTGCACACAGGGGTGCACATCCCCGCCTTGGGGCACAGGCTGCATGCTGCAGCTCTGCTGGGGGGAGAGGCGGGGATGCCCGCAGCAGGCAACAAGCTCAGAGGGCAGCAAGCATGGGAGCTGACATTTAGAAGGAGCTAATTGCCAGAGCCCGCCCTGCGCCCTGCCTCTGGCAGTGGCCGGCAGCGGAGGCTTCGCAGCGTGGTGAGCAGCTCAGAGAGCCCCCAGCCAAATGTGCAGTGCTGTCCGTTGGGCTGGGGGATCCCTCGCTGCCTCCCCGCCGTGCTCCCCAGAGCGTGAGATCTAATTACCCTCGCTTTGGCATCTGATGCCACCACTGTTTGTTGGCCACAACGTTTTCTGTCGTCTCCTGAACATCCAGCCCCACTGCTTAACATGGTGACCTTCTGCAAGATGGAATTTGATGGGGCGATGCAACTCACAGCACTTTTGTTCGCCATTAGCAAACAGTGAAGTGCTGCATGAGTTTTAACAAGGGGCTTCCACAAACATGTTCCTCTCTGGTCTACGGCAAAACCCTGGGAGGGGCTGAGCGGTCCCCAGCTGTTTGGCTGCACCCTCGCTGCTGGGTTGGAGCAGTGCCCGCAGGCAGCTGCTGCACTGAAACTCCTCAGAGTGCTCAGGGACCAACCTGCAGCTCACTGTGGGATGGGAAGCATGGCTGGGATGCAGAGATCCTCACCAGCACCTCCTGAACCCTTGGTAGGTATGGACCCATTCCTTTCAGCAAACACAAACGCGTCCTGCTGGCAGCAGCTGGAGGAGAGCAGAGGAGAGGGATGAGCTCAGTGCCATCTGTGTTTCTGGGTGGCATTGTGGAGCTTTCGAGGGCAGAGCTGAGGCCCTTTTCCAGGAGGACAAAATTTCTGCAGCCAGTTCATGTGCCCACACTGCCCCCAGCTCCCCAGGCCAGGTGCCCATGATGGGTTGGTTGTGCCCAGACTGTAGGTTTCCGCACTGATGCTCTCAGCACTGTGCGGCAGCGAAGCCAGAAGTGCATTTTTTCATTCCCTGGTCCTTTGGCCTATGGAAAAAAGGAGACAGAAACATCACTGATTTACCGGAGGCAACTCCAGGGATGTAAAATAGTAACAAATGGGGTCGAGGAAGCAATGGCTGTCAGCTCAGATCTGTCCGCAGCACAGGGCACGAGGCTTGCTGTGGTGCGGGGCGCTGGTGCTGCTGGATCCACGAGGCACCCACGGCCCCACAGTTCTGCCTGAGGGTGGTGTCAGCCCAGCACTGTGCTTGGGAGCAGTCATCAGAATGGGTCTGTTGACCCCTGCTTGCCCCCTGCCATGCCAACCCCTCTGCTAGGGACGTCTGTTAGAAGTGAGCATACGTGGGCTGCTGCCACACGCACAGTATGTGACACTGCTCCTCGACTGGTCCTCTCCCTTCATGAGGCAAGAGAGATGATGGTGTCCAGATGGTGTCCCTGGTGTCCAGATCACCTTCAGCCCTGCTTTGTCCTCTTTGGGCATCTTTGCCCATGGCCAGGCTCAGTGCTGTGGGCAGAGGGAGGGAACTGCAAGGATTGATGCTCTGAGATAGTGCAGGTGCTGGCTACGGGTCTCTGTGGGTCACCAACTCCTGCAGTGATGCTTGGGGAGGGAGTTCGGGTGGGCATCAGCCGAGGGTTGGAGTGGGTGGTGTTGGAGAGGTTTGGGATGCTCTGCATGGCTGGGCAACCCAATGGGCTGCATGGGAGCTGCGGGGGGCTGCCCACACCCCTCTGTGCTGCAGCATTACAGCCCTGCTCCCCAGCTGACACACCGCTCTCCTGCAGGCACTCTTCGCTCTCTCCTCGCTGCTGAGGCACTTCCCCTATGCCCAGCAGCAGTTCCTCAAGCTGGGTGGCCTCCAGGTGCTGCGTGGGCTCTTCAGACAGCCAGGGAGCTCAGCCCTGTGTGTCCGTGCTGTGACGTTGCTCTATGACCTCTTCGTGGAGAAGGTGAGGGCTGTGGGGCAGTGGGACGGGGCATCTCCTCTAGGGGAAGGTCCCTCCCAGCTCCTGTGCTGGAGCTGCAGCTCCTGCAGCCTTATTTTCACATACTGTGGATTACTGCTGCCTTTCTTGTCACCATTTGTTATTTAGTTTGTGTGTCTCTCTTACTCCAGAGAATGGGAATTAAATCCACTTTCACTCTGTTTATAGCCAATTTGCCCTGCAGATTATCACTGCTTTAACACTCGGATTCCAGGCACCGCAGAGGAACAGCTGTGTTCTTAAACAGTTGTTTTCCACGGGATTTTGTGAAGGTGCACATTATTTTGATGGGCCTGAGATCCCATCAGGTGTGGGCTCTGACACCCTGTATGGGAATTGCTGAGTCCCAGCCTGAACCACTGATTGAGCACCTGGGTAAAGGACCCGGTGGGCCCTGGGAGCACTGATGAAGGCAGTTCAGCTGTGTGACTGGAAGGGGTGGAGCCTGGCTGCACCTCTCTTAGACCTCATTTAAGGGCTGACTGCCATTGGGGAAGGATCTCTGGTTGGAGATCCCTCCTTTGTGGGGTTTTCTTGTGAGCCTGGATCTTCAGAAATGGGTGAGCACCTTTCCTTTGTAACACTATTCCATTCACACTAGTCCCTTTGCTACTGTGCTCTCGTATTGCCCTTCTACTGCACTGACCTTCCTGATTGTAACGCTGTGCTGCCCTGCCCCTTTGCACGCAGTAGAAGGGTCCATGGGCCTGGCTTCTTCTGCCTACCTGTGTGCACCTCATGCAGTGCAACCTGCCCCAGCTTTGCTCTGGCTGGAGGAGCTCCAAAGGCCCTGCAGAGCCTCAGGTTTGTGCCCACATGTGGCTGTTGCTGCTTACAACTCTCCAGGCATAGCCCCTTCCAGAGCCTGCAGAGGAAGCAGAAGGATGCTGGAACCTGCTGGGGAGCAGGACTGGGCCAGATGTGGCCAGGCTTGGGGTTGCCTGGGTGAAACTGTGTGTCTAAAATCATAAAGTAACACCAGCCCCTGTGAGTGCCAGCTCTGCACTGAAGTACAGAGCAGCATCTGAACAACATTTGTCTTCTCCTCTTTTTTCACCCCAGATCCTGAATGTCGAAGTACAAATGGGCATTCAGCAGTAGTGCTCCTGGGAACTAGGGTTGTGGTGGTATCATTTCTCCTTGTCTCTATGCCCAGCAGTTCAGTGGCACAGAGTGCTGTGATGGAGCAGCTGACCTGGGGGTATCAGAAGGAAGGTGTGGAGAGGCACCACGGACATCCTTGGGGACCCAGCTGACCCTGGGGTCAGGACTGTCCCCAGGGACTGTGAGAGGCATGGCTCTGCCTCTGCTCCCCTGGCTGAGGGTTTCTGCTCCTTGGCCCTACAGAAGCTTGAATCTTCCTTCACCTCACCTGAGATCCCTGGCACTGAGCTGCATGTGCAGCAGCGTGCATTGCATGTCTCCGTGCATGGCAGGAGCTGCAGTGTGCACCATGCAGTGTGTCACCTGCAGGCAGCAGCTACAGGTCATCATCTGCCCCTTGCCCTCCCACAGATGCTGCTGGAGGACTCTCAGCACAGCGACCAAGCGGAGGAGAAGGTGCAGCAGTACCGGCGGGTGCAGCTGGTGCCAGCGGTGCTGGAACAGGACTGGTGTGTGGCAGTGCCAGGGCTGCTGGCTTTGCCAGAGCACGACGCACGTGAGAAGGTACTGAAGGCGGTGGCTGTGCTGATGGCGTTCTGCAGGGAGCGCTTCCGCAGGGACACGGCCCTCAGTGCCACGCTGGGGCTGCTGCGCAGTGAGTATGAGGAGCTGGCAGCTGCCGAGCGCAGGGACGGCGATGGGGATGGGTACTTCCAGGAGCTGCTGGGCTCTGTGAACAGCATCTTGCAGGAGCTGGGCTGAGGCCGGAGCTCAGATGGGTCAGGATAACGGTGTGATGTGTGGTGTCACCTGTGTAAGTGCACTTTGAATAAATGGCTGAGCTAAGGAAGTCTCCCCAGTGGAAATGTGCCAAGAGTTTGTTATTGGACAGAAGTGCTGGGGGCACACATCCTTAGCATTCAGCAACACTGGAAAATAGAGGTCTGTGCCCTGGAGGAGCAGGCCGGTTCCAGCTCACACTGCAGCCTTCTAGACAAGGACCTGATGCAGATGCCCTCTGCAGCCCAGTATGGTGTGGTTCTGGGTCTGCTCCTTCCTTCCCAGGAGAGAGTGGGGTGGTGAAGTGTGCCTTACCCTGTGCGGAACCTCTTGCTGCCTGCCTGCCTTCCTCCTGCCCTTAGAGGTGGGCTGCAGAGTGATGTGTAGTGCCCAAGGCCTCGGATGAGGAAGGTGCAAACTCCCAAATCCTGCTTGTGTGCTGTCCTGCTGCAGGTACGTTGCAATGCAGAGCTGCTTTGTAGAGCAGGCTGTGAGCACTTCTTGCTTCTGTGCTCCATCCCAGCATTGCTCTCTGGCAGCTGCAGGTATTCCAGTCAGTGCTGCTCCCGCTGCAGGGCGGCAGTGTGACCCAGGGCCGGAGATGCTGATGTTACTAACACCATTGCAGAAAAATAAATTAAAACCAATAAGGGAAGGCTGCTGGTTTTGTATGCAGCCCTGTGGCATTGCCCGAACTCACTGCAGAGCTGCCTGCAGCCAGGCTGTGCCAGCCCTCACCCATTGGAGCTGAGGTATGTCTGGCCGTGGCTGTGGTTGATTGGCTGTCATCACTGTGCAGCAGTGCTAATTGCAAGTATTGATTTGGTGGTGGTTGGTTTTTTGTTTTTTGTTTTTTTTTTTTTTTTTTTTTCATTCTCTCTTTAGGTTTTGATTTGGGCTGCCTTCCTGGGATTAAAAATTATTTTTGTTTTTGTTCCCAGCTGCCCGCTTAGGGCTAGACTTGCTGTAGGGTTAAGAGTAAATACCATCTGATGGCAGTTGCTGCTGGGGGGACAGATCTCAGTACTGGGGCAGAGCTGGGCCCTATGCAGTGCTAAATTGGACTGAAACATCCTGGCTCTATGGCTCTCATGGCCCTCAGCCTCCAGGGGTGTATGCAGCAGTGTGTGCTCTGTGCTTTGTATGCAGTGCCTTGCCAGTGCCATAGTTGGGGCCACCTCCGGGCAGCAGTGAGGGCAGCTGTGCCCAGGGAACCCCACAGCGGTCAACAGTGGTGTCCGTGCCCTCAGTGGGGACTCATTGCAGAGAATGCAGTTCTGCTGGGCTTTGCCCTTTCTGCTTTCCCTCCCCGGTCTGTTGTGTCCCACCTTGCTCACACAGGGCCCAGATGCACAGCTGCAGAGATGAGCTGCTCACCCCATGGCTCCGGGTGGTGCACATGGAGAAGTACAGCTGACAGCATTTCCATCCTACTGCCAGAGAAGTGCAGGGGAGGAAGAACGTCCTAAAAGCAAAAGAAAAGAAAAAAGGGAAACAAAAGAAGTTCCTGGAATTGCTTACCAAAAAGCACTCTGATGCTCAGGGAAGGTGCTGCTGATATAGTGCAGGCAGTCCCTGCGGCCAGAACCCAGACCTAAGGGCTCTGCCTGCAGGCTCAGGCTGGAGGCTGAGCCCCAGCCCAGGCTCACAGCTTTTCCCACCACCCGTGACTGGGCAGCCACTTACCCTATCAGTATCTGCGAGCACCAACAAATGGGAGCTGCTGGCAGGCAGTGTGGCTGTGGTTGTACAGCACTTCTGCCTCAGAGACCACAGCTGTGTATGCTGGGCTCTGTGAGGGAGGAGCTGCTCCTTTGGGTGCATGGGAGCTGCTGCTGCACTCCTCCATCCGCAGAGGGAACAAGCAGCTGGGTGGTGTCCCTGAGCAGGGCAGCGCTGGCAGAACATCCCCTGTGCACTTCTTAGCACTGCTGTGGGCTGTGCTCACACACTGCTGCCAGAGGAAGAGCCTTCCCTCCAGCACTGCAGATGAGACAAACTGCACAAGTCCTTCCCCAGAGCTTAATTACATCAAGCAGTAATTACTGTAATTCTTCTCAATTGGCTCTAATATAGTTACGGTGCTGTTCCTGTGCTGAATGCAGCCTGCCTGGACCCTGGTGGCTCCTGAAGGCCAGGGATGCTCCCAAAAGTCACAGCAGAACATGGGTTTGCATTTACTCAAAACCTGGATGGATCTAAATGTCCGTTTGTTGCGATTTATTTTCGTAATGCTAATACATGGGGTTCTGGAGTGGTGTGTTTGACAGACACTGAACAGCGTGGGGAATAGAACCTTTCAGGCTATTACATTAATGCCAGGAAAAAGAAAAGTCACACTGTGTGAAAGCAGACAGTAACCATGCATGGCAAAGACACACAGAGTTAACCCTGGGGTGTTTGTGGGGCAGCAGAGCAGAACGGACCCGTTGGGCAGCAGAGCTGCGGGCAGCAGTGACACAGCAGTGCATTGTCACCTGTCCTTGGAGGCTGCAGCACTTGGGAGCAAAACGGGCAATGTTACTGCAGTACCTCCTAATCCTGATCAGCGGTTGGGTAATCTGACAGCAGTAAGCTTGATAGAGTAAGCAGTAAGCTTGATAGAGTTTAGAACATTTAGTTGATGTTCTAAATGGAATTAGAACATAAGAGCTGCCAATGAGCGGCTCTCAAATTCAGTTACAGCACTGCACACACAGGGCACCAAATCCCGGCCCCCGAACCGCTCCCAGCCTTCTGGGGAACGCGGGACCTCGCTGGTAGGAGTAAAACACACCGACAGTCGTAGCATGTAAATAAGAGTGAAAGGATGCCTGTAGGTACATCTCCACACAGTGCCCGGTCGCAGCGCAGCCAGCGAGAGCTGCTGGGTGCACACAGCTGTGCTGGGAAATGGGCACAGTGCTGACTGTGTGGATGTGAGAGGAAGCACCAACACCACGCACAGCACAACATATGGGTGGGAAAAGCGACTTTATTGTGTCCTGCAGCAACATCGGCGGTCTGTAAGCAGGCATTACCACTCTCATGTCACACAGAAGCCAGCAGCCACGGGGGCGCAGGGATGGGAAGCAGAGCACAGGGAGCAGCGCAGCCCCTCCTGGCCCTGCCCGGCTGTGTGCCATGCAGGAGGTGCTCGCTGTGTTCTCGTGCTCCTTTCAGCACACATTGCTCACTGGCTCTCCCCTCCCAGCAGGAATACACATACATACAATAATCCATTTCTAAAACTTTTTTTTCGGGTGAAAAGACCTAATTTTTCCCTCCTGATCACAAGGCAAAACAGCAGTCTCCAAGCAGAACGATTCAGCTATCAGCATTAACTGTTAGTGTTATTGTGAAACCTCTTTGGTTATAGAATATTTCATTTAAAGCGAGATTATACAAAATAATTTCCAGCTAGAAATACACCCCTGGAATCTAAAAGCAATCTAAATTAACACACTCTCGCAGGCTGGAGCTATACTGATAGGATTTGTAATTTGAGTATTTCCCCACATGATCTAAACAAAGTTATCAAAATTATATTAAGTAAATACATTTTGAGGAGTAGTAAACTTCTGAGAATCCTTAGAATATTAAAAGTAGAGTTCTGGAAGTAGCAGTAGTGGCCTAAAGGAAAAACCAACCGACACAGAGACCTCTAAATGCTCTCCATCGCCTTGAACTCGCTGAGCGCCTGCACCGGGCTGACGTGCTTCTTCTGGGACGCCCGCTTGATTTTGGTCTGGGTCTCGTCCTGCTTCTCCCTCTTGACCAGGGGCTTCTTCTCCGGAGCCTTCATCTTCCAGGACACGGCGGGGAGGTTGAGCGAGGCCATGCCCTGCGACTTCTGGTACTTGGTGGACGCCACGTAGGACGCCTTCACCGTCTGCACCACGGCGTTCATCAGGTTCTTGGCTGCCTGGATGAGGGACATGGCACTGTCCACCTGCCGGAGGAACGGCGCAGTTACTCGAGGTGAAAGTGGCTGAGCAGCTCCATAGCAGTGCTGCGGGCTCTGCTGGAAGCCACTACGGCTGCTCTGAATGGTTCTCCTCAGAATCTGCAGCCCAACGGCACGGCGATGTTCCCCTGCTGACCGAGGAGCACCATGCCTGCACACTGCTCCATGCTAATGGCAACCAAAGGCATTCGTGTTTCGCTGTTTGCTTTTGTGACTAAGCTTTAAAAGCAGCTTATTCTCTAACAAAATTAAAATCACGGTAATATCTTAATTACTGATAATAAACGTTTATATAAAGTTATGTTACAAAGGGAGGAACGCCGTGTTATCTTCAGCCAGGCCTGGAGCCCTTTGCGAGGTGGTTCTACTGACAGGAGCTTAAAAATGAGAACTTTGGAAGCTGTAGTGTGTGGCTGATGGGGAGCCACACTGCAGGAGGTGAGGGCTGAGGTGTGTGCGGGCGAAGCGGGGCTGACTGCACTGTGGGCTTTGTGCAGGGCTGCTTCATCCCATCCACCCCGCACAAGACCAGGACCTGCTGCTCATAAATACCAACGATCCTCAGCAGATGAGAGCTCAGCTCCCTCTCCGCATTTAAACTGCAGCATGTGTACATCTAGGGAAGAGCTGGGGGAAAATCCAAGCAAAAAATGCCCAGCATCAAACAGTGTGAGCAGGACTTGGAGGACTGCACGCTGCGTACCGTGGTGGCAATCTGAGCTGTGCCACGCAGCAAAGCATTGCCCTCCCCTGCCCCAGCCATCGCACTGCCAACGCTGCACTGCCTGCCACTACTTCCATGGCTCTTCACAGCGGGAGGAATCCCATCCACTGCACTGAAAGCAAGGAGGTGCTGTTCTAAAGGAGCTCTCAGATTGCTCAGGGTGCAGTGCCAGCTGCCTGGGCTGCGGCTCTGCCTTCACAAAATATTTGCTGCCTCAGGTTGGGGAGGACGCCGGTGCTGACGGAATTCCCTTGCAGACTCAAGGCCTTCCCCTGTAACCTGACAGAGCTGAACACAGCCCCAGCATCACTCAGCCCCATGGGCAGATTGGAGGGGAGCAGATAAAGCGGCAGATTAGATGGCAGATGCCTGCTCACACAACTAATTTATGGCAGGAGGGTATGTAAATT